AGGAAAAACAAAACGAAAGAATATTCTAACTGCTGATAATAAAACACAGAAAAGACTATATGCCGATAATAGGAAAACACAAACGAAAGAATATTCTAAATTTGATAATAAAGACACAGAGACAAAAAATACTATATAGATAAAGAAACACAAACGAAAGAATATTCTAACTGTTGATAATAAAATGACACAGAGACAAAAGAATACTATATATGCCGATAATAGGAAAACAAAACGGAAAGAATATTTAACTGTTGATAATAAAACACAGAGACAAAAGAATACTATATATGCCGATAATAGGAAAATAAAAACGAAAGAATATTCTAACTGATGATAATAAAAGACACAGAGACAAAAAGAATACTATATATGCCGATAATAGGAAAAACACAAACGAAAGAATATTCTAACTGCTGATAATGACCAGAGACAAAAGAATACTATATGCCGATAATAGGAAAACACAAACGAAAGAATATTCTAACTGCTGATAATAAAAAGACACAGAGACAAAAAATACCATATATGCCGATAATAGGAAAAACACAAACGAAAGAATATTCTAGAAGATGATAATAAAATGACAGAGACAAAAGAATACTATATATGCCGATAATAGGAAAAAAAAAATGAAAGAATATTCTAACTGCTGATAATAAAAAGACACAGAGACAAAAGAATACTATATGCCGATAATAGGAAAACACAAATGAAAGAATATTTTAACTGCTTGATAATAAATGACACAGAGACAAAAGAATACTATATATGCTGATAATAGGAAAACACAAAGAAAAGAATATTCTAACTGCTGATAATAAATGACACAGAGACAAAAGAATACTATATATGCCGATAATAGGGAAAACACAAACGAAAGAATATTCTAATGCTGATAATAAAAAGACACAGAGACAAAAATAATAGATGCCGATAATAGGAAAACACAAAACGAAAGAATATTCTAACCGCTGGATAATAAAATGACACAGAGACAAAGAATATATATGCTGGATAACGGAAAACACAATGAAAAAGAATATTCTAACTGCTGATAATAAAAAAGACACAGAGACAAAAGAATACGATATATGCCGATAATAGGAAAAACACAAACGAAAGAATATCACTGCTGATAATAAAATGACACAGACAAAAGAATACTATATATGCCGATAAGAAAACAAATGAAAGAAAACGAAATCGAGACAAAAGAATATTCGATAATAGGAAAATAATTGTAACTGCTGATAATAAAATGACACAGAGACAAAAAGAATACTATATATGCCGATAATAGGAAACACAAAAACGAAAAAGAATATTCTAACTGCTGATAATAAAAAGACACAGAGACAAAAAGAATATTATATATATGATAATAGGAAAAATGACAAACGAAAGAATATTCCAACTGCTGATAATGTTAAAAAAAGAGACAAAAGAAGACTATATATGCCGATAATAGGAAAAACACAAACGAAAGAATATTCTAACTGCTGATAATAAAATGACACAGAGACAAAGAATACTATATATGCTGATAATGGGAAAACAAAATGAAAGAATATTCTAACTGATGAATAAAAAGATACAGAGACAAAAGAAACTATATATGCCGAGAATAGGAAAACAAAACGAGGGAATATCTAACTGTTGATAATAAAAAGGACAGAGACAACAGAATACTATATATGCCGATAATAGGAAAAACACAATGAAAAGAATAACTGCTGATAATAAAATGACACAGAGACAAATGAATACTATATATGAATAATAGAAAAACACAAATGAAAGAATATTCTAACTGTTGATAATAAAAAGACACAGAGACAAAAAGAATACTAGATATGCCGATAATAGGAAAAACACAAAACGAAAGAATATTCTAACTGCTGATAATGACAATAAAAAGACTATAGAGAAAATAGGAAAACAAAAAAGAATACTATAGAATGATACAAGAAGGAAAAAACATAAACACAAAAGAATATTCTAACTGCTGATAATAAAAGACAAAAGAGACAAAAGAATATTATATATGATAATAGAAAATGAAAACGAAAGGAAATAGGCTGATAATAAAATGAACAGAGACAAAAGAATGTATATATGCCGATAATAGGAAAAACACAAACGAAAGAATATTCTAACTGCTGAAAAAAGACACAGAGACAAAAGAATACTATATATGCAATAATAGGAAAACAAAACGAAAGAATATTCTAAATGATACAAAATGACACAGAGACAAAAGAATATATATATGCCGATAATAGGAAACACAAATGAAAGAATTCTAACTGCTGATAATAAAAGACACAGAGACAAAAGAATACTATATATGCCGATAATAGGAAAAACATAAATGAAAGAATATTCTAACTGCTGATATTAATGACACAGAGAGACAAAAGAATACCGATATGAAAAACACAACGAAAGAATATTCTAGGATAAAAACAAACAAAAAAGAATATTCTAACTGCTGATAATAAAAAAGACACAGAGACAAAAGAAAACTATATATGCCGATAATAGGAAAAACACAAACGAAAGAATATTCTAACTGCTGATAATAAAAAAGACAGAGACAAAGAATACTATATATGCTGATAATAGGAAAAACACAAACGAAAGAATATTCTAACTGCTGATAATAAAAAGACACAGAGACAAAAGAATACTATATATGCCGATAATAGAAAATACAAAACGAAAGAATATTCTAACTGCTGATAATAAAAGACACAGAGACAAAAGAATACTATATATGCTGATAATAGGAAAATAAAACGAAAGAATATTCTAACTGCTGATAATAAAAAGACACAGAGACAAAAGAATATTATATATGCCGATAATAGGGAAAAACACAAATGAAAAAGAATATTCTAACTGCTGATAATAAAAGACACAGAGACAAAAGAATACTATATATATGATAATAGAAAAACACAAATGAAAGAATATTCTAACTGCTGATAATAAAATATTTATCTAACAAAAGAATACTATAATGTTATTAATAGAGACAAAAGAATACTTTTATACAGCCGATACTATAGATAAAACACAAATGAAAGAATATTCAAACTGCTTTGATAATAAAAGACACAGACTAAAGAATATATATGCCGGATAATAGAAAACACAAACGAAAGAATAATTTAACTGCTGATAATAAAAAACACAAAAAAGAATACTATATATGCCGATAATAGGGAAAAACACAAAACGAAAGAATATTCTAACTGGCTGATAATAAAAAAGACACAGAGACAAAAAGAATACTATATGTGCTGATATTAGGAAAAACACAACAAAACGAAAGAAATATTCTAACTGATAATAAAAAGACACAGAGACAAAAGAATACTATATATTGATATTAGAAAAACACAAACAAATTTGTTATTCATTCTAACTGCTACACAAAAAGACACAGAGACAAAGAATACTATATATGCCGATAATAGGAAAAAACAAAACGAAAGAATATTCTAACTGCTGATAATAAAAGACACAGAGACAAAAGAATACTATATATGCCGATAATAGGAAACACAAACGAAAGAATATTCTACTGCTGATAATAAAACATACAGAGACAAAAAGAATACTATATATGCCGATAATAGGAAAACACAAACGAAAGAATATTCCTAACTGCTGATAATAAAAGACACAGAGACAAAAAGAATACTATATATGCCGATAATAGAAAAACACAAACGAAAGAATATTCTAATTGCTGATAATAAAAAAGGCAAGAGACAAAAGAATACTATATATGCCGATACAGGGAAAACACAAACGAAAGAATATTCTAACTGCTACAATAAAAAGACACAGAGAAAAAAATACTAGATATGCCGGGATAATAGGAAAAACAAAAAGTAAGAATATTCTAACTGCTGATAATAAAATGACACAGAGACAAAAGAATACTATATGCTGATACGGGAAAACACAAATGAAAGAATATTCTAACTGCTGATAATAAAAGACACAGAGACAAAAGATTACTATATATGTCAGATAATAGGAAAACACAAACGAAAGAATATCAACTGTTGATAATAAAATGACACAGAGACAAAAGAATACCATATGCAATAATAATAGGAAAATAATAAAACGAAAGAATATTAACTGCGATACACAAAAGACACAGAGACAAAGAATACTATATGCTGATAATAGGAAACAAAACTTAAAGAATATTCTAACTGTTGATACAAAAGACAGAGACAAAATACTAGCATGCCGATGCTGGGCTAGGAAAAACACAAATGAAAAAGAATATTCTAACTGCTGATAATAAAATGACACAGAGACAAGTTAATAATGGTATAGGCTGATAATAGGAAAACACAAACGAAAGAATGGCCTAAAAAGAGCACAAAAAGACACAGAGACAAAAGAATATATATGCCAGATAATAGGGAAAACATAAATATAATATTCCAAACTGCTGATAATAAAAAGACACAGAGACAAGAAATACTATATATGTTACAAAAGTTACAAATGGAAAGAATATTCTAACTGCTGATAATAAAAAGACACAGAGACTAAAAAATTAACTTTCTTCAAAATAAAATAAAAATAAAAAAAAAAGAATATTCTATTTGCTGATTCTTTAAAAGACACAGAGACAAAAGAATAAAAAATACACGATACAGGGAAAACACAAATGAAAGAATAAAATAACTGCTGATAATAAAAAGAAACAGAGACTAAAGAATTTGAAAGTGCTTTCACAGGGAAAAACAAAATAAATGAATATTTCAAGAACACTGACCTAATACAGACAAAGAATATTATATATGAAATAAAGGAAAACACAAATGAAAGAATATTCTAACTTTGATAATAAACTTTCTTCAAAAAAAAATTAAAGATAAACAAAGAATATTCTAACTTTAATTTGAGAGACAAAGAATACTTATTCAAAATAAAAATAAAGAATAACCAAAAAAGACACTAACCTAATTTGAAAAGACACTTTCAAAAAGAAGAATAAGATGATATGTAGATAATAGGAAAAAGAGGAAAACGAAAGAATATTCTAACTGCTGATAATAAAATGACACAGAGACAAAAAGAATACTATATATGCTGATAACAGGAAAAACACAAACGAAAAGAATATTCAAACTGCTGATAATAAAAAGACACAGAGACAAAAGAAGAATAGATGAATGCTGATAATAGGAAAAACAAAAATGAAAGAATATTCTAACTGATGATAATAAAATAAAAAGACACAGAGATTGAAAAAGAAAAGACAAAAGAATATATATGCTGATAATAGGAAAACAGGAAAACGAAAGAATATTCTAATGCTGATAATAAAAAAGACACAGAGAAAAAAGAATACTATATATGCCGATAATAGAAAAACAAAAACGAAAGAATATTCTAAAGCTGAAATAAAAAAGATAAAGAGACAAAAGAATACTTGATATATGCCGATAAAGGGAAAAACAAACGAAAGAATATTCATAACTGCTGATAATAAAAAGACACAGAGACAAAAAGAATGCTATATATGCCGATAATAGGAAAAAACAAAACGAAAGAATATTCTATGTAGTTGATGAAAAGCATACAAAGACAAAGAAACTTAAAAGAAAGGAAAATCATGAAAGAATATGCTGATAAAAATAAAGGAAGAATGAGACAAACAAAGTTGATAATAGGAATAAAGGAAAAATGCAAAGAAAGAATATGCAGAATGAAGGATAAAAGACACAGAGACAAAAGAAATACTATATATGTAGATAAGAGGAAAACACAAACGAAAGAATATGCTAACTGCTGATAGGAAATGACAAGAGACAAAAGAATGCAACTATATATGCTGATAATAGAAAAACAAAAGAATAGAGGAAGAAAATGAAAGAATATTCTAACTGATGATAATAAAAAGACACAGAGACAAAAGAATACTATATATGCTGATAATAGGAAAACACAAAGGAAAGAATATTCTAAGATGCTGATAATAAAAGACACAGAGACAAAAGAATAGAATATATGCCGATAATAGGAAAACACAAAACGAAAAGAATATTCTAACTGCAATGATAATAAAAGACACAGAGACAAAAGAATGCTATATATGCCGATAATAAAAAAACACAAACGAAAGAATATTTTAAATATTGATAATAAAAAGACACAGAGACAAAATAATACTATATATGCCGATACAGGAAAAACAAACGAAAGAATATTTAACTGCTGATAATAAAAGACAAAGAGACAAAAAAGAATACTATATATGATAATAGGAAAACACAAACGAAAGAATATAACTGCTGATAATAACAAAAGAAAAATATGTAGGAAAACAAAGAGATTGAAACTGCTGATATAAAAAGTTGGATAGACAAAAGGAAAAACACAAACACAAAAGAAAGAATATTCTAACTGCTGATAATAAAAGACACAGAGACAAAAGAATACTATATATGCCGATAATAGGAAAACACAAACGAAAGAATATTCTAACTGCTGATAATAAAATGACACAGAGACAAAAGAATACTATATATGCATCGATAATAGGAAAACACAAACGAAAGAATATTCTAATTCTAAAGGGATAAAATGACACAGAGAAAAGAATACAGAGATAAAAAAAACACAAATGAAAGAATGGTAGAATGATAATAAAAGACACAGAGACAAAAAGAATACTATACGCCGATAATAGGAAAACACAAACGAAAGAATATTCTAACTGCTGATAATAAAATGACAGAGACAAAAGAATACTATATATATTCATGTAGAATAGGGAAAAACAAATGAAAGAATATTCTAACTGCTGATAATAAAAGACACAGAGAAAAAAGAATACTAGATATGCCGATAATAGGAAAAAAACATAAAAATGAAAGAATATTCTAATGATAATAAAAGACACAAAGACAAAAGAATAAAAGATATGAGACATAAAAGGAAAACAAAAGAAAGAACAAAACTGCTGAATAAAAAGATGAGAGAGACAAAAGAATGAATATGCCGATAATAGAAAAACACAAACGAAAGAATATTCTAAATATTGCTGATAATAAAAAGACACAGAGACAAAAAGAATACTATGATATGCGATAATAGGAAAACACAAACGAAAGAATATTCTAAATGCTGATAATAAAAAGACACAGAGACAAAAAGAAACTATATATTGATAAGGAGGAAAACACAAACGAAAGAATATTCTAACTAGAATGATAATAAAATGACACAGAGACAAAAGAATACTATATATGCCGATAAAGGAAACACAAATGAAAGAAAAATCTAATGCTGATAATAGAATGAAGAAAAAGACACAGAGAGAAAAAGAATACTATATATGCTGATAATAGAGGATTGAAACAGAAAAGAAAAGAATATTCTAATTGCTGATAATAAAAGACAAAGAGACAAAAGAATGCTATATATGAGCGATAATAGAAACAAAACGAAAAGAATTCTAACTGCTGATAATAAAAAAGACACAGAGAAAAAGAATACTATATATGCCGATAATAGGAAAACACAAACGAAAGAATATTCTAACTGAATAGGATAATAAAAAGAAACAGAGACAAAAGAATACTATATATGATAATGAAAGAGGAAAACACAAACGAAAGAATATTCTAACTGCTGATAATAAAAAGACACAGAGACAAAAAAGAATACTATATATGCCGATAACAGGAAAAGACAAACGAAAGAATAGGAAACTGCTGATAATAAAAGACACAGAGACAAAAGAATACTATATATGCTGATAAGAGGAAAAACAAATGAAAGAATATTCTAACTGTAGAATGTAAAATGACACAGAGACAAAAGAGAATATATAGGGATAATGAAAAACAAAAGTTGAAAAGAATATTGAAACTGCTGAAAAAAATGACAAAGATGACAAAAGTATAATATATATGCTGATAAGAGGAAAACACAAATGAAAGAATATTCATGTAGAAATGATAATAAAATGACACAGAGAGTAAAAAGAATGGGATGATGGATAATAGGAAAAGGACAAACGAAAGAAAATTGAATGCTGATAATAAAAGACATAGAGACAAAAGAATACTATATGATAATAGGAAAAACACAAATGAAAAGAATATTCATGTAAATGCTGAGGATAAAAGTGGTAGAATGAATGGGATACTAGATATGTTGATAATAGGAAAGCAAAATAGGAAAATGAATGCAAAAATGAACAGAGACAAATGAAAGATATATTGATAAAGATGAACTATGTAGAAATGAAGAATAAAAGGGGAAGAAGACAAAAGAATAACTATAGAATGTAGAGGATAGGAAGTGGTACAAACGAAAGAATATTCTAACTGATGATAGGAGCATTTGAAAAGAGGAAGAGACAAAAAGAATACCATGTAGAAATGTAAATAATAGGAAAAAGAAGAATGAAAGAATATTCTAACTAGCTGATAATAAAATGACAGAGACAAAAGAAGGAATAGAGTAATGAAATAGGAAAATACAAAGATGAAAGAATATTGAAGAGTATTGAAAGGGGGACAGAAAGACAAAAAAGGACAGATGATGATGGGCAAAGTGAATAGGAAAACACAAAGAGAAAAATGAATTCAAAAGATGGATAATGAAAAGACACAGAGACAAAAAGAATGAAGAATATATGTCGAAGAACAAGAGGATTGAAAATACAAATGAAAGGATGATTGCAATGTTGAATAGATAAAAAGAAAAGAAACAAAAAGAATACTAGAATGAAGAGCATTGGAAATAGGGAAGAACACAAATGAAAGAATATCTAATGCTAGAATAAAAAGACACAGGTAGAAAAGAAGTGGATGATGCAATGTTGAACAGGAAAACACAAACGAAAGAATGCAAAAGATGAGCTATGTAGAATAAAGAGCTGAAAGAGGAAGAAAAAGAAAGAACTATATATGAATGGATAAATAGTAGGAAATGGGAGATGATGGGCAAAGGAATAGGAATATTCTAACTGCTGATAATAAAAGCAAAAGAGAAAAAAGAGAATAAGAACTGAAAGGGGAAAACACAACGAAAGAATACCAGAAATGCTGATATTGAAACACAGAGACAAAAGAATGGATGATGTGCAATGATAATAGGGAAATGAAAACGAAAGGAATGCAAGGTGAGGTAGAAAAAGACACAGAGACAAAGAATGTAAGGAAAGAATGCTCACGTAGATAATAGGAAAAACACAAACGAAAGAATATGCAATGTTGAATAGGAGACGAAGAGAAATGAATAAAGATAACACAGAGACAAAAGAATACGGATATATGCCGATACAGAAAACACAACGAAAGAATATTCTAACTGCTGATAATAAAAAATGACACAGAGACAAAAGAGAATACTAGAGAAGCGGGATAATAGGAAAAAAATACAAAACGAAAGAATATTCAATGCTGATAATAAAGATACAGAGACAAAAAAAATACTAGATATGCTGATAAGAGGAAAAACATAAACGAAAGAATATTCTAACTGCTGATAATAAAATGACACAGAGACAAAAGAAGAATACTATATATGAAAGAATAAATGGAATGTAGAATTAAGTAGTAGAAAGAATATGAGCAAAGTTGAATGATAGCATTGAAAAGGAAAACAGAATGCAAAATATCACTATATGAAGAGCATTGGGAAAATGAATGAAAGAATATTAAAATGCTGATAATGAAACTGATGTAATAAATGAAGGGACAAAAGGGCAAAGTTGATAATAGGAAGAAACAAAAAAAGAAAATTCTAAGATGCTGATAATAAAAAAAGACACAGAGACAAAATTGACTATATATGAAGAATAGGAAAACAAAAATGAAAGAATAGAGATAATAAAAAGATAGAAAAAAAGAAGATGATGAGAATGAAGTGGAATATTCTAACTGATAATAAAAGGAGCATAAGATATTGAAAACACAAACGAAAGAATATTCTAACTGCTGATAATAAAAAGACACAGAGACAAAAGAATACTATAGAATGCCGATAACAGGAAACACAAACGAAAGAATGGGATAATGCTGATAATAAAATGACACAGAAAAGAGAAAAAAAAGCAAAGATGAGCTTAAAACGAAAGAATAAGAACTGGAAAAATGACAAGAGAAAGAATATATAAAGAATATTACAATAATAAAATGTAAAGGATTGAAAAGAATGGGGATATAGGGCAAAAATGAATAGAGAAAAAGGAAAATGAATGCAAAATATTCTAAATGCTGATAATAAAAAGAGGAAGAGAATGAATGAAAGAATATTATGTAGATAATGTAGAGAAAACACAAGAAATGAAAGAATATTCTAAGTTGAATGACAAAAAGAGGAAAAATAAAAAAGACACAGAGACAAAAGAATACTATAGAATGACGATATTGAAAGAGGAAGAACAAAATGAAAGAATATTCTAAATGCTGAGGATTAAAAGTGGTAGAATGAAGTGGATGACAATGTTGAATAGGAGCATATGCTGAAATAGAAAAAATGCAAACAAAAGAATATTGTAAATGCTGATAAATTGAACAGGACAAATGAATGAAAGAAAATTAATGTAGAATACAAAGGAAAGAAAATTCTAGAATGATAATGATGATGTGAACAAAAGAATACTATATATGCCGATAATAGGAAAACACAAAACGAAAGAATATTCTAACTGCTGAATAATAAAAAGACACAGAGAAAAAAGAATACTATATATGCCGAGTTAGTTGGAAAAAGGAAAATGAAAGAAAAGATGAACTGCTGATAATAAAAGAAACAGAAGAATGAAAAGAATAAGCATATAGAATGTAGAAGATATGCCGAATGAAGGATAACAAACGCAAAGAAAATTCTAACCGATAGGCCTAAAGAACACAGATTGAAAAGGAAGAATATATGAAAGAATAATAGGAAACACAAACGAAAGAATAGAATGAGGGGATGATAAAAAAGACACATTGACAAAAGAATAATGCAAAGATGAGCTTTGTAGAATGAATAGCAAAAAAAGGGAAGAGATGAATGAAAAGAAATTCATAAAAATGTACAGAGACAAAGAAGATGGTATATATGGCAAGAAGTTAATAGAAAAGCATTGAAACGAATGCAGAAGATGAGGCTAATAGATGAAAATTGAAAAAAATGAATGAAAGAATAAGAGACAAAAGAGTTGAAAGTGGAGGTATGAATGGGATATTCTAACTGCTGATAATAAAAGACACAGAGACAAAAGAATGGGATGATGTGATATGTAGGAAAACACAAACGAAAGAATAAAATATAGATAACAAAAGATGAGCTACAAAAGAAATAAGATATGCCGAAAGAGAAAAAAAATGAAAGAATATTCAAGCCGATAAGAAAAAACAAAGAGAAAGAATATTGGATGATGTAGAAATGATAATAGGGAAAAACACGAAAACGAAAGAATATTCTATGAGCTGTAGAATGAAGAAAATGAAACAGAGACAAAAGAATAATGAAAGAATATTCGATAATAGAAAACAAAAGGAAAGAATATTCTAACTGCTGATAATAAAAGACACAGAGACAAAGAATACTATAAATGAATGATAATGAGGGAAAATGAAAAACGAAAGAATAGAGGAAGAATGATGAATAAAATGACACAGAAGAGAAAAAGAATGGTATAATGCCGATGGGATGAAAACACAAACGAAAGAATATTCTAACTGCTGATAATAAAAAGACACAGAGACAAAAAGAATACTATATATGCTGATAATAGGAAAACACAAACGAAAGAATATTCAATCAAAGAGAAATAAAAGACACAGAGACAAAAGAAAACTATATATGCTGATAACAGGAAACACAAACGAGGAATATTCCTAATCTGATAATACAGAGACAAAAGAATACTAGATATGCTGACACAGGAAAAACACAATTGAAAGAATATTCTAAGAATCATGGATAATAAAAAGACACATAGACAAAAGAATATATATATGCCGATAACAGGAAAACAAGAATGAAGAGCATTGAAAAGGGGAAGAAGGAATGAAAGAATAATCATGTAGAATGTAGAGGATTGAAAGTGGTAGAATGAAGGGGATGATGGGCAAAGATTGAATAGGGAATTGAAAGAGGAAAATGAATGCAAAGATGAGCTATGTAGAATGAAGAGCATTGAAAGAGGAAGAATGAATGAAAGAATATTCATGTAGAATGTAGAGGATTGAAAGTGGTAGAATGAATGGGATGATGGGCAAAGTTGAATAGGGTGCATTGAAAAGAGGAAAAATGAAGAATGAAAGCATTGAAAGGAGGAAGAATATGTAGAATGAAGAGATTGAAATTGGTAGAATGAATGGGAATGGGCAAATGAATAGGGTGCATTGAAAGAAAAATGAATGCAAAATGAGCTTAGAATGAAGAGCATTGAAAGGGGAAGAATGAATGGAAAGTGGATGTAGAATGTAGAGGATTGAAAGTGGTAGAATGAAGGGGATGATGGGCAAAGATGAAAAGAGGAAAATGAATGCAAAGATGAGCTATGTAGAATGAAGAGCATTGAAAGAGGAAGAATGAATGAAAAGAATAATTAGAATGGAGGATTGAAAGTGGTAGAAGAGGGGATTGAAAGTTGAATTGGAGCAAAGAGGAAAATGAATGCAAAGATGGCTATGTAGAATGAAGAGCATTGAAAGAGGAAGAATGAATGAAAGAATAATAGAATGTAGAGGATTGAAAGTAGAATAAAAAAGGGATGATGGGCAGAATGAAGAGCATCGAAAGAGGAAAATGCAAAGATGAGCTTTGTAGAATGAAAGAGCACAAAGGGGAAGAATGAATGAAAGAATAAGAATGTAGAATGTAGGATTGAAAGTGGTAGAATGAAGGGGATGATGGGCAAAGATGAATAGAGCATCGAAAGAGAAAATGAATGCAAAGATGAGCTATGTAGAATGAAGAGCATTGAAAGAGGAAGAAGAATGAAAGAATATTCATGTAGAATGTAGAGGATTGAAAGTGGTAGAATGAATGGGATGATGGGCAAAGTTGAATAGAGCATCGAAAGAGAAAATGAATGCAAAGATGATAGGTGTAGAATGAAGAGCATTGAAAGAGGAAGAATGAATGAAAGAATATTCATGTAGAAATGTAGAGGATATGAATGAAAGTGGGTAGAATGAATGGGATGATGGGCAAAGTTGAATAGGAGCATCGAAAGAGGAAAATGAATGAAAAGATGAGCTATGTAGAATGAAGTAGAATGAAAGGGGAGGAAGAATGAATGAAAGAATGAATGCAAATGTAGAATGTAGAAGGATTGAAAAGTGGTAGAATGAATGGGATGATGTAGCAAATGTGCTGAATTGGTGCATTGAAAGAGGAAAAATGAATGCAAAGATGAGAAAGAGGAAAATTGAAATGAAAAGAATGAAAGAATATTCATGTAGAATGAAGAGGATTGAAAGTGAGGAAGAATGAATGAAAGAATAAAACAGGAAAAGAATGCAAAGAGGATTGAAAGTGGTATTGAATGAAGGGATGAAAGAATAAGCATGTAGAATAGATTGAAATGGTAGAAAGAGGAAAAAAATGGAAAGAAAAATGAATGAAAGAGTAGAATGAATGAATGAAAGAGGAAGAATGATGAAAGAATGTAGAATGAAAGTAGAGGATTGAAAGGGGGAAGAATGAATGAAAGAATATTGAAATGAAAAGAATGCAAAGAGGATTGAAAGTGAGTAGAGAGGAAGAATGGGATGATGGGCAAAGATTGAATAGGAGCATCGAAAGAGGAAAATGAAAGCAAAGATGAGCTTTGTAGAATGAAGAGCATTGAAAGAGGAAGAATGAATGATAGAATAAGCATGTAGAATGTAGAGGATTGAAAGTGGTAGAATAAAGGGGATGATGGGCAAAGTTGAATTGGAGCATTAAAGAGGAAAATGAATGCAAAGATGAGCTTTGTAGAATGAAGAGCATTGAAAGAGGAAGAATGAATGAAAGAATATTCATGTAGAATGTAGAGGATTGAAAGTGGTAGAATAAAGGGGATGATGGGCAAAGTTGAATAGGAGCATCGAAAGAGGAAAATGAATGCAAAGATGAGCTTTGTAGAATGAAGAGCATTGAAAGAAGAAGAATGAATGAAAGAATATTCATGTAGAATGTAGAGGATTGAATGTGGTAGAAAGAAGGGATGATGGGCAAATGTTGAATAGGAGCATCGAAAGAGGAAAATGAATGCAAAGATGAGCTATGTAGAATGAAGAGCATTGAAAGAGGAAGAATGAATGATAGAATATTCATGTAGAATGTAGAGGATTGAAAGTGGTAGAATGAAGGGATGATGGGCAAGTTGAATAGGAGCATTGAAAGAGGAAAATGAATGCAAAGATGAGCTAGAATGTAAGAGAATGAAAGAGGAAGAAAGAGAAAGAATGAATGAAAGAAAAGGAAAGTGGTAGAATGTAGAGGATTGGAAAGTTGAATAGGAGAATGAAAAGGAAAATGATGGGAAAAGTTGAAATGAAGCATTGAAAGAGGGAAAATGAATGCAAAGAATGAGGATTGAAATGTAGAATGAAAGAGCATTGAAAAGAGGAAAGAGGAAATGAATGCAAAAGAATGAGCTATGTAGAATGAAATGTAGAGGAATTGAAAGAATGGTAGAATGAAGAGGATGATGGGCAAATGAAGTGGATGAATTGGAGAATCGAAAGAGGAAAATGAATGCAAAGATGAGCTATGTAGAATGAAGAGCATTGAAAGGGGAAGAATGTATGAAAGAATATTCATGTAGAATGTAGAGGATTGAAAGTGGTAGAATGAAGGGGATGATGGGCAAAGTTGAATAGGAGCATCGAAAGAGGAAAATGAATGCAAAGATGAGCTATGTAGAATGAAGAGCATTGAAAGAGGAAGAATGAATGAAAGAATAATCATGTAGAATGTAGAGGATTGAAAGTGGTAGAATGAAGTGGATGATGTGCGAAGTTGAATTGGAGCATTGAATGAGGAAAATGAATGCAATGATGAGCTATGTAGAATGAAGGGCATTGAAAGAGGAAGAATGAATGAAAGAATAATCATGTAGAATGTAGAGGATTGAAAGTGGTAGAATGAAGGAGGTGATGTGCAACGTTGAATTGGAGCATTGGAAGAGAAAAATGAATGCAAAGATGAGCTATGTAGAATGAAGAGCATTGAAAGAGGAAGAATGAATGAAAGAATATTCATGTAGAATGTGGAGGATTGAAAGTTGTAGAATGAAGGAGATGATGGGCAAAGTTGAATAGGAGCATTGAAAGAGGAAAATGAATGCAAAGATGAGCTATGTAGAATGAAGAGCATTGAAAGAGGAAGAATGAATGAAAGAATAATCATGTAGAATGTAGAGGATTGAAAGTGGTAGAATGAATGGGATGATGGGCAAAGTTGAATAGGAGCATTGAAAGAGGAAAATGAATGCAAAGATGAGCTATGTAGAATGAAGAGCATTGAAAGAGGAAGAATGAATGAAAGAATAATCATGTAGAATGTAGAGGATTGAAAGTGGTAGAATGAAGGGGATGATGTGCAAAGTTGAATTGGTGCATTGAAAGAGGAAAATGAATGCAAAGATGAGCTTTGTAGAATGAAGAGCATTGAAAGAGGAAGAATGAATGAAAGAATATTCATGTAGAATGTAGAGGATTGAAAGTGGTAGAATGAAGGGGATGATGGGGCAAAGTTGAATAGGAGCATCGAAAGATGAAATGAATGCAAAAAGATGAGCTTTGTAGAATGAAAAGAGCATTGAAAGAGGAAGAATGAATGCAAAAAGAATATTCATGTAGAATGTAGAGGATTGAAAGAGGAAGAATGAAGGGATGATGGGCAAAAGTTGAATGAATGGGATGAGCAATTGAAAGAGGAAAATGAATGCAAAGATGAGCTATGTAGAATGAAGAGCATTGAAAGAGGAAGAATGAATGAAAGAATATTCATGTAGAATGTAGAGGATTGAAAGTGGTAGAATGAATGGGATGATGGGCAAAATGAATAGAGCATCGAAAGAGGAAAATGAATGCAAAGATGAGCTTGTAGAATGAAGAGCATTGAAAGGGAAGAATGAATGAAAGAATATTCATGTAGAATGTAGAGGATTGAAAGTGGTAGAATGAAGGGGATGATGGGCAAAGTTGAATAGGAGCATCGAAAGAGGAAATGAATGCAAAGATGAGCTATGTAGAATGAAGAGCATTGAAAAGAGGAAGAATGAATGAAAGAATATTCATGTAGAATGTAGAGGATTGAAAGTGGTAGAATGAATGGGGATGATGGGCAAAGTTGAATAGGAGCATTGAAAGAGGAAATGAATGCAAAGATGAGCTATGTAGAATGAAGAGCATTGAAAGAGGAAGAATGAATGAAAGAATAATCATGTAGAATGTAGAGGATTGAAAGTGGTAGAATGAATGGGATGATGGGCAAAGTTGAATAGGAGCATCGAAAGAGGAAAATGAATGATCGAAAAGATGAGCTATGTAGAATGAAGAGCATTGAAAGAGGAAGAATGAATGAAAGAATATTCATGTAGAATGTAGAGGATTGAAAGTGGTAGAAATGAAGGGATGATGGGCAAAAGTTGAATAGAGCATCGAAAGAGAAAATGAATGCAAAGATGAGCTATGTAGAATGAAGAGCATTGAAAGAGGAAGAATGAATGAAAGAATATTCATGTAGAATGTAGAGGATTGAAAGTGGTAGAATGAAGGGGATGATGGGCAAAGTTGAATAGGAGCATCGAAAGAGGAAAATGAATGCAAAGATGAGCTATGTAGAATGAAGAGCATTGAAAGAGGAAGAATGAATGAAAGAATATTCATGTAGAATGTAGAGGATTGAAAGTGGTAGAATGAATGGGATGATGGGCAAAGTTGAATTGGAGCATTGAAAGAGGAAAATGAATGCAAAGATGAGCTATGTAGAATGAAGAGCATTGAAAGGGGAAGAATGTATGAAAGAATATTCATGTAGAATGTAGAGGATTGAAAGTGGAATGAAGAATGAAGGGGATGATGGGCAAAGTTGAATAGGAGCATCGAAAGAAAGAGGAAAATGAATGCAAAGATGAGCTATGTAGAATGAAGAGCATTGAAAGTGGAAGAATGAATGAAAGAATATTCATGTAGAATGTAGAGGATTGAAAGTGGTAGAATGAATGGGATGATGGGCAAAGTTGAATAGGAGCATCGAAAGAGGAAAATGAATGCAAAGATGAGCTATGTAGAATGAAGAGCATTGAAAGAGGAAGAATGAATGAAAGAATAATGTAGAATGTAGAGGATTGATGAATGGGATGATGGGCAAAGTTGAATAGGAGATCGAAAAGAGGAAAATGAATGCAAAGATGAATGTAGAATGAAAAGAGCGAAAGAGGAAGAAGAATGAAAGAATATGTAGAATGTAAAGAATGAGAATGGGATGATGTGTAGAAGTTGAAGAGCATTGAAAGAGGAAAATGAAAAAGATGAGCTATGTAGAATGAAGAGCATTGAAAGGGGGAAGAATGAATGAAAGAATGTAGAATGTAGAGGATTGAAAGTGTAGAATGAATGGGATGATGGGCAAAGTTGAATAGGAGCATCGAAAGAGGAAAATGAATGCAAAGATGAGCTATGTAGAATGAAGAGCATTGAAAGAGGAAGAATGAATGAAAGAATATTCATGTAGAATGTAGAGGATTGAAAGTGGTAGAATGAAGGGGATGATGGGCAAAGTTGAATAGGAGCATCGAAAGAGGAAAATGAATGCAAAGATGAGCTATGTAGAATGAAGAGCATTGAAAGAGGAAGAATGAATGAAAGAATAAGCATGTAGAATGTAGAGGATTGAAAGTGGTAGAATGAAGGGGATGATGGGCAAAGTTGAATAGGAGCATCGAAAGAGGAAAATGAATGCAAAGATGAGCTATGTAGAATGAAGAGCATTGAAAGAGGAAGAATGAATGAAAGAATAAGCATGTAGAATGTAGAGGATTGAAAGTGGTAGAATGAATGGGATGATGGGCAAAGTTGAATAGGAGCAACGAAAGAGGAAAATGAATGCAAAGATGAGCTATGTAGAATGAAGAGCATTGAAAGGGGAAGAATGTATGAAAGAATAATCATGTAGAATGTAGAGGATTGAAAGTGGTAGAATGAAGTGGATGATGTGCAATGTTGAATAGGAGCATCGAAAGAGGAAAATGAATGCAAAAGATGAGCTGAAAGAGGAATGTAGAATGAAGAGCATTGAAAGAGGAAGAATGAATGAAAGAATATTCATGTAGAATGTAGAGGATTGAAAGTGGTAGAATGAAGGGGATGATGGGCAAAGTTGAATGAGGGGAGCATAGTGAAAGAGGAAAATGAATGCAAAGATGAGCTTTGTAGAATGAAGAGCATTGAAAGAGGAAGAATGAATGAAAGAATATTCATGTAGAATGTAGAGGATTGAAAGTGGTAGAATGAAGGGGATGATGGCAAAAGTTGAATAGGAGCATCGAAAGAGGAAAATGAATGCAAAAGATGAGCTATGTAGAATGAAGAGCATTGAAAGAGGAAGAATGAATGAAAGAATATTCATGTAGAATGTAGAGGATTGAAAGTGGTAGAATGAAGGGGATGATGGGCAATGTTGAATAGGAGCATCAAGAAAGAGGAAAATGAATGCAAAAGATGAGCTATGTAGAATGAAGAGCATTGAAAGAGGAAGAATGAATGAAAGAATATTCATGTAGAATGTAGAGGATTGAAAGTGGTAGAATGAATGATGGGATGATGGGCAAGAAAATGAATTGAATAGGATGTAGAATGAAGAATGATTGAAAGAGGAAAATGAATGGGATGCAAAGATGAGCTATGTAGAAATGAAGAGCATTGAAACAGAATGAAGAGCATTGAAAGAGGAAAGAATGTGAATGAAAGAATAATGAAAATGATAGAATGTAGAGGATTGAAAGTGGTAGAATGAATGGGATGATGGGCAAAGTTGAATAGGAGTAACGAAAGAGGAAAATGAATGCAAAGATGAGCTATGTAGAATGAAGAGCATTGAAAGGGGAAGAATGTATGAAAGAATATTCATGTAGAATGTAGAGGATTGAAAGTGGTAGAATGAATGGGATGATGGGCAAAGTTGAATAGGAGCATCGAAAGAGGAAAAATGAAAAAAAAAGATGAGCTATGTAGAATGAAGAGCATTGAAAGAGGAAGAATGAATGAAAGAATATTCATGTAGAATGTAGAGGATTGAAAGTGGTAGAATGAAGTGGATGATGTGCAATGTTGAATAGGAGCATCGAAAGAGGAAAATGAATGCAAAGATGAGCTATGTAGAATGAAGAGCATTGAAAGAGGAAGAATGAATGAAAGAATATTCATGTAGAATGTAGAGGATTGAAAGTGGTAGAATGAAGTGGATGATGGGCAAAAGTTGAATCGGGAGCATCGAAAGAGGAAAATGAATGCAAAGATGAGCTGTAGAATGAAGAGCATTGAAAGAGGAAGAATGAATGAAAAGAATAATCATGTAGAATGTAGAGGATTGAAAGTGGTAGAATGAAGGGGATGATGCAAAGTTGAATAGGAGTAATGAAAGAGGAAAATGAATGCAAAGATGAGCTATGTAGAATGAAGAGCATTGAAAAGGGAAGAATGAATGAAAGAATATTCATGTAGAATGTAGAGGATTGAAAGTGGTAGAATGAAGTGGGATGATGGGCAAAGTTGAATAGGAGCATTGAAAGAGGAAAATGAATGCAAAGATGAGCTATGTAGAATGAAGAGCATTGAAAGAGGAAGAATGAATGAAAGAATAATCATGTAGAATGTAGAGGATTGAAAGCAAAATGGTAGAATGAATGGGATGATGGGCAAAGTTGAATGAAAGAGTATTGAAAGAGGAAAATGAATGCAAAGATGAGCTATGTAGAATGAAGAGCATTGAAAGGGGAAGAATGTATGAAAGAATAATCATGTAGAATGTAGAGGATTGAAAGTGGTAGAATGAAGGGGATGATGTGCAATGTTGAATAGGAGCATCGAAAGAGGAAAATGAATGCAAAGATGAGCTATGTAGAATGAAGAGCATTGAAAGAGGAAGAATGAATGAAAGAATATTCATGTAGAATGTAGAGGATTGAAAGTGGTAGAATGAATGGGATGATGGGCAAAGTTGAATAGGAGTAACGAAAGAGGAAAATGAATGCAAAGATGAGCTATGTAGAATGAAGAGCATTGAAAGAGGAAGAATGAATGAAAGAATATTCATGTAGAATGTAGAGGATTGAAAGTGGTAGAAATGAATGGGATGATGAATGCAAAGTTGAATAGGAGCATCGAAAGAGGAAAATGAATGTAGAAAAGATGAGCTATGTGAGAATGAAGAGCATTGAAAGAGGAAGAATGAATGAAAGAATATTCATGTAGAATGTAGAGGATTGAAAGTGGTAGAATGAATGGGATGATGGGCAAAGTTGAATAGGAGCATCGAAAGAGGAAAATGAATGCAAAGATGAGCTATGTAGAATGAAGAGCATTGAAAGGGGAAGAATGAATGAAAGAATAATCATGTAGAATGTAGAGGATTGAAAGTGGTAGAATGAATGGGATGATGGGCAATGTTGAATAGGAGCATCGAAAGAGGAAAATGAATGCAAAGATGAGCTATGTAGAATGAAGAGCATTGAAAGAGGAAGAATGAATGAAAGAATATTCATGTAGAATGTAGAGGATTGAAAGTGGTAGAATGAATGGGATGATGGGCAAAGTTGAATAGGAGTAACGAAAGAGGAAAATGAATGCAAAGATGAGCTATGTAGAATGAAGAGCATTGAAAGGGGAAGAATGTATGAAAGAATATTCATGTAGAATGTAGAGGATTGAAAGTGGTAGAATGAAGGATGAGATGAGTGTTGAATAGGAGCATCGAAAGAGGAAAATGAATGCAAAGATGAGCTATGTAGAATGAAGAGAATATTGAAAGAGGAAGAATGAAATGAAAGAAATTCATGTAGAATGTGTAGAGGATTGAAAGTGGTAGAATGAATGGGATGATGGGCAAAGGAATAGGAGCAATGAAAGAGAAAAATGAATGCAAAGATGAGCTTTATGTAGAATGAAGAGCATTGAAAGAGGAAGAATGAATGAAAAGAATATTCATGAAAGTGGAGGATTGAAAGTGGTAGAATGAAGGGGATGTGCAATGTTGAATAGGAGCATCGAAAGAGGAAAATGAATGCAAAGATGAGCTATGTAGAATGAAGAGCATTGAAAGAGGAAGAATGAATGAAAAGAATATTCATGTAGAATGTAGAGGATTGAAAGTGGTAGAAATGAATGGGATGATGGGCAAAAGTTGAATAGAGCATCGAAAGAGGAAAATGAATGCAAAGATGAGCTATGTAGAATGAAGAGCATTGAAAGGGGAAGAATGTATGAAAGAATATTCATGTAGAATGTAGAGGATTGAAAGTGGTAGAAATGAAGTGGATGATGCAAATGTTGAATAGGAGCATGGAAAGAGGAAAATGAATGCAAAAGATGAGCTATGTAGAATGAAGAGCATTGAAAGGGGAAGAATGAATGAAAGAATATTCATGTAGAATGTAGAGGATTGAAGTGGTAGAATGAATGTGGATGATGTGCAAGAAACGAAAGAGGAAAATGAATGCAAAGATGAGCTATGTAGAATGAAGAGCATTGAAAGAGGAATGAATGAAAGAATATTCATGTAGAATGTAGAGGATTGAAAGTAGAATGAAGGGATGATGAGGAAAGAGTTGAATAGGAATCGAAAGAGGAAAATGAATGCAAAGATGAGCTATGTAGAATGAAGAGCATTGAAAGAGGAAGAATGAATGAAAGAATATTCATGTAGAATGTAGAGGATTGAAAGTGGTAGAATGAATGGGATGATGGGCAAAGTTGAATAGGAGCAACGAAAGAGGAAAATGAATGCAAGGTGAGCTATATAGAATGAAGAGCATTGAAAGGGGAAGAATGTATGAAAGAATATTCACGTAGAATGTAGAGGATTGAAAGTGGTAGAATGAAGTGGATGATGAATAGGAGGAAAAGAAAATTGAAAGATGAGCTATGTAGAATGAAAAGAGCATTGAAAGAGGAAGAATGAATGAAAGAATATTCATGTAGAATGTAGAGGAGAAAGTGGTAGAATGTAGAATGAATAGGAGTAACGAAAGAGGAAAATGAATGCAAAGATGAGCTATGTAGAATGAAGAGCATTGAAAGGGGAAGAATGTATGAAAGAATAATCATGTAGAATGTAGAGGATTGAAAGTGGTAGAATGAAGTGGATGATGTGCAATGTTGAATAGGAGCATCGAAAGAGGAAAATGAATGCAAAGATGAGCTATGTAGAATGAAGAGCATTGAAAGAGGAAGAATGAATGAAAGAATATTCATGTAGAATGTAGAGGATTGAAAGTGGTAGAATGAATGGGATGATGGGCAAAGTTGAATAGGAGCATCGAAAGAGGAAAATGAATGCAAAGATGAGCTATGTAGAATGAAGAGCATTGAAAGGGGAAGAATGTATGAAAGAATAATCATGTAGAATGTAGAGGATTGAAAGTGGTAGAATGAAGGGGATGATGGGCAAAGTTGAATAGGAGCATCGAAAGAGGAAAATGAATGCAAAGATGAGCTATGTAGAATGAAGAGCATTGAAAGAGGAAGAATGAATGAAAGAATATTCATGTAGAATGTGGAGGATTGAAAGTGGTAGAATGAAGGGGATGATGGGCAAAGTTGAATAGGAGCATCGAAAGAGGAAATGAATGCAAAGATGATATGTAGAATGAAGAGCATTGAAAGAGGGAAGAAAGGGGAAGAATGAATGAAAGAATAATCATGTAGAGAAGCACTGAAAGAGGATGAATGCAAAGATGGTAGAAATGAAAGGGATGATGGAAAGGGTAGAAAGAGGTTGAAATAGAAAGAAGGGGAGCATTGGACCAAAAGAGGAAATGAATGCAAAGATGAGCTGGTGTAGAATGAAGAGCATTGAAAGAGGAAGAATGAATGAAAGAATATTCATGTAGAATGTGGAGGATTGAAAGTGGTAGAATGAAGGGGATGATGCAATGTTGAATAGGAGCATTGAAAGAGGAAAATGAATGCAAAGATGAGCTATGTAGAATGAAGAGCATTGAAGAGGAAGAATGAATGAAAGAATATTCATGTAGAATGTAGAGGATTGAAAGTGAAAGGGATGATTTGCAATGTTGAATAGGAGCAACGAAAGAGGAAAATGAATGGAAAAATGAATGCAAATGAAGAGCATTGAAAGAGAAGAATGAAGAGCATTGAATGTAGAGGATTGAAAGTGGTAGAAATGAAGGGATGATGTTCCAATGTTGAAAGAGCATCGAAAGAGGAAAATGAATGCAAAGATGAGCTATGTAGAATGAAGAGCATTGAAAGAGGAAGAATGAATGAAAGAATATTCATGTAGAATGTAATGAAAGTGGTAGAATGAATGGGATGATGGGCAAAGTTGAATAGGAGCATCGAAAGAGGAAAATGAATGCAAAGATGAGCTATGTAGAATGAAGAGCATTGAAAGAGGAAGAATGAATGAAAGAATATTCATGTAGAATGTAGAGGATTGAAAGTGGTAGAATGAATGGGATGATGGGCAAAGTTGAATAGGAATAATGAAAGAGGAAAATGAAAATGCAAAGATGAGCTATGTAGAATGAAAGAGCATTGAAAGAGGAAGAATGAATGAAAGAATATTCAGATGTGAAAGAGAGGAAGAATGAATGAAAGAAATGTAGAAGGATTGAAATGGATGAATGGGATAATGCAAAGTTGAATAGGGAGTAACGAAAGAGGAAAATGAATGCAAAGATGATGTAGAATGAAGAGTTGAAAGAGGAAGAATGAATGAAAGAATATTCATGTAGAATGTAGAGGATTGAAAGTGGTAGAATGAAAGGGGATGATGTGCAATGTTGAATAGGAGCTCAGAAAGAGGAAAATGAATGCAAAGTTGAGCTATGAATGAAGAGCATTGAAAGGGGAAGAATGAATGAAAGAATATTCAGAAATGTAGAGGATTGAAAGTGGCAGAATGAAGGGATGATGGGCAAAGTTGAATAGGAGCATCGAAAGAGGAAAATGAATGCAAAGATGGCGCTAGTAGAATAAGAGTATTTGAAAAGCAAGGAATGAAGGAAAGAATATTCATGTAGAATGTAGAGGATTGAAAGTGCTGATAATAATGGATGATGAGACAAAAGAATAATATATAACGAAAGAGGAAAAATGAACAAAGATGAGCTATGTAGAATAAAAGACACAGAGAAAGAATAATATATATGCCGAAAGAATACACAAACGAAGAATATTCTAGAGGCTGAAATAAAAGACACAGATGGACAAAAGAATGCTAATAGGAGCATAGGAAAAGAGGAAATGAATTCTAAAGCTGATAATAAAAAGAACAGAGACAAAAGATAATATATATGCCGATAATGAGAAAACACAAACGAAAGAATATTAGAACTGCTGATGATGATGGACAAAGAATACTATATAGTAACGAAAGAGGAAATGAATGCAAAGATGAATATTCTAGACTGAAGAGCATTGAAAGGGGAACAATGAGACAAAAGAATAACCGATAATAGGACAAACAGAGGATTCTAACTGCTGGTAAAAGACACAGAGACAAAATGTAATGTTGAATAGATTACTGAAAAGGAAAAATGAATGAAAAGATATTCTATGTAGAATGAAAAGCATTGAAAGAGGACAAGAATGAATGAAAGAATATTCATGTAGAATGTAGGGAAATGAAAACAAAGAATGAATGGGATGATAAAAGTTGAAACAGAAGAATGAATGAAAGAAGGAAAAATGAATGCCAATAATTGGAAATGTAGAATGAAGAATGATTCAAAAGGGGAATAATAAAAAGACAAAGACAAAATGAATGCAAAGGATTGAAAGATGTAGAAATGAATAATTCTAACTGCTGATAATAAAAAATGACATGAAAAAAAGAAATGAATGCAAAGATGAGCAAATGAAAGTAGAATGAAGATAATAAAAAAGAAAGAGGAAGAAAGAATGGAAAAATAAATGCAGCATGAGGAAAACACAAACGAAAGAAGAAATGAAAGAGGAATACTATATATGCCAATGAAAACACAAATGAAGAGCATCGAAAAAGAGGAAAATGAAGGGGATGATGACAAAAGTTGACTATATGTGCCGAAAGAGGAAAATGAATGAAAGAATATTCTATGTGAAAGAATAAATTGAAAGAGGAAAAGAATGAAATGGATGAAAACACAAATGTTGAATATTGAAACTGCTGATTATAGAATGACAAAGAGACAAAGAATACTATATATGCCGATAATAGAAAAACATTGAAAGAGGAAGAATGAATGAAAGAAAAAAAGAATGTAGAGGACAAAAAGAATACTATGAATGTGAAATAGGAAAACACAAAACAAAGGAATGAAAAATGTCAAAGAGACAAATGGAATGCTATAGATGCCGATAATAGAATGAAGAATATTCTAGGGGAAGAATGATACTATGAAAGAATAATCAGGAAGAAACACAAAGGAATATTCTAAATAATGGTAAGAACACAGGATGATACTATAATGTTGAATAGAATATTCTAACACTGATAATAAAAAACAGTGAAAAATGAATACTAGATAAAGATGAGCTATGTAGAAAAGAATATTGGAAGAGGAAGAAATAAAAGACACAGAGACAAAAGAATGCTATAGAGGATAATGAAAACAAACGAAAGAATGAATGGATGATAATAAAAAGGAATAGAGACAAAAAGAGGAAATGAATGCCAATAATGACACAAACGTGAATGAAGAGCATAAAAGACACAGAGGGAAGAATATATGAAAGAATGGGAAAGTAGAATGAAAGAATATTGAAAGTGGTAGAATAAAAGTGGATGATGTTCAATGTTGATAATAGAAAACAAACGAAAGAGGAAAAATGTAAAATGACAGAACAAATGAGCTATATTGAATGAAGAATAATAGAAGAAACACAAACGAAAGAATATTCAACTGCTGATAGAATGTAGAGGGACAAAAAGAATACTATATGTACCGATAATGGGAAAACACAAACGAAAGAATAAATTCTAACTGCTGAAAAGGAGTAACAAAAAAGGAAAATGAATGCACAAAGATGAGAATATTCTAACTGCTGATAATAAAAAGACATGAAGACAATTGAAAGGCAGATAATGTATGAAAGAATAATCATGGAATGATATTAAAAGAGGATTGACAAAAGAATAGAATGAATGGGATGATGCTAAATGTTGAATAGGATATTCGAAAGCTGAAAATGAACAAAGATGACAAAAAAGAATGAAGAGCATTGAAAGAGGAAGAACAAACGAAAGAAATATTCTAACTGCTGTAGAATGTAGAGGATTGAGTGGTAGAATGAAGTGGAAAAATATTCAATGTTGAATAAAGGAGCACAGAAAGACAGTGAAAATGCCGAATGAAAACAAAGATGAGCTATGTAGAATACAAGAGACAAAAAGAGGAAGAATGAACAAAAAGAATATTCTAACTAGAATGTAGAGGACACAAAGACAAATGAAGGGGATGATGTGCAAGATGAATAAGAAACATCAAACGAGGAAATGATTGCAAAGATGATATGTAAAAAGACACAGAGACAAAAGAAGACTATATACCGATATTGGGAAAACACAAACGAAAGAATATTCTAACTGGTATAATAAACGGGACACATGGGCAAAAAGAATACTATATATGCCGATAAAAGGAAAACAAAGAAAAGAATATTTCTAACTGCAATAATAAAAAAAAGAACAAAAAAGAATACTATGTAGAATGTAGAAGACAAAGAATATTCTAACTGCTGATAATAAAATGACAAAAATACTGATAATAGGGAAAAACACAAAATGAAAAAGAATATTCTAACTGCTGATAATGTAGACAATGAATACTAAAGATGAATTGGAAAAAATGAAGAATTGAATGAAAGAATATTCATGAAAGAAAAGAATACTAATGTAGGTAGAATGAAAAGGGGATGATGGGCAAACTTTGAATAGGAGCACGGGAAAGAGACAAAAAATGCTATATATGCCGATAAAGATGAGCAAATGAATGAAGATTCAACTGCTGAAAGAGGAAGAAAAGACAAAGAATACTATGTAGAATGTAGAGGATTGAAAGAAAATGAAAGGATGATGTGCAATGTTGAATAGACACAGAGAGGAAAAAAAAAGCAAATATGAGCTATGTAGAATGAAGAGCATTGAAAGAGGAAGAATGAATGAAAGAATATTCATGTAGAATGTAGAGGATTGAAAGTGGTAGAAATGGAAGGGATGATGCAATGTTGAATAGGAGCACGAAAGAAGGAAATGAATGCAAAGATGAGCTATGTAGAATGAAGAATGAAAGAGGAAGAACTATAATGAAAGAATAAATGTAGAATGGAGGGGATTGAAAGTGGTAGAAAAGAACAGGGGATGATGTGGCTGAAAGGGAACACGAAAGAGGAATATTCAAAGATGAGCTATGTAGAATGAAGAGACAAAAGATGAAGAATGGAAAAGAAAGAAAGAATGTAGAACTGAAGAAAAATGAAACGTTGACAAGTGGAATTTGCAATACTGAATAGGAGCAACGAAAATGAAAAATGAAAAAGATGAGAATATGTAGAATGAAGTATTGAAAGAGTGAAGAATGAAGGAAAGAATACTATTCATGTAGAATGTAGGGAGGATTGAAAGTGGTAGAATGAATGGGATGATTCTAAATGTTGAATAGGAGCATCGAAAGGGGAAATGAATGCAAAAGATGAGCTAAGTGAGAATGAAGAGCATTGAAAGAGGAAGAACACAAATGAAAGAATAATCATGTAGAATGTAGAGGATAAAATGAAAGTGGTAGAATGAAGTGGATGATGGGCAAAGTTGAATGGGAGCACACGAAAGAAAGAAAAATGAATGCAAAGATAATAATGTAGAAAGAAGAGCATTAAAAGGGGAAGAATGTATGAAAGAATATCATGTAGAATGTAGAGGATTGAAATTGGTAGAATGAAGTGGATGATGGACAAAAGAATAGGAGCACCGAAAGAGGAAAATGAATGAAAAAGATGAGCTATGTAAAAGAAAGAAGACTATTGAAAGAGGAAGAATGAGTGGAAGAATATTCTACTGAGAATGTAGAGGATTGAAAGTGGACAAAAATGAAGGGGATGATGATAATGGGAAAGGACAATGAAAGAGAAAATGAATGTAAAAGATGATAATAAAATGTAGAATGAAGAGCATTGAAAGAGGGAAGAATGAATGAAAGAATATTCATGTAGAATGGGAGGATAATAAAAAGTGGTAGAGACAAATGGGATAATGGGCAAAAGGAATAGGAGCAACGAAAAAGGAAAATGAATGCAAGGGGTGATATATAAATGAAGAGCATTGAAAGGGGGAAGAAATGTATGTGCCGAAAAATAACACAAACAGAAAAGAATATTGGAAACGATAATAAAATGAAGTGGATGAGACAAAAGAATACTAGCATGACGAAAGAGAAAAGAAAATGCAAATGAGATAATTCTAACTGTAGAATAAAAAAGAAAGAGGGAAGAATGAATGAAAGAATATTCTAACTGCTGAATGTAAAGGACAAAGAGACAATGAATGGGATGATGGGCAAATATTGAAACACAAACTAAGAAGGACTGCTGAAATGAAAGAGAGGAAAATGAATACTATATGTAGATAATAGGAAAACACAAATGAAAGATATAGAATGAAGAGCATTGAAAATAAAAGAACAGAGACAAAAAGAATACTATACGTAGAATAGGAAAAACACAAACAGAAAGTAGAGGAATAAAAAAGAATGACAAAAAAAAATGGATATATGCAATGTTGAAAAGACAAACGAAAAGGAAAATGAATGATAATAAAATGACACAGAGTAGAATACTATATATATGCCGAAAGAGTGAAGAACAAATGAAAGAATATTCTATGTATAAAATGACACAGAACAAAAATAATAGAATGAATGGGATGATGGGCAAAGTTGAATAGGATAAAACGAAAGAGGAAAACTTTATATGCCGATAAGGAAAACACAAGGAAAATGAAGAGCATTGAAATACAAAGAACAGAGACATGAAAGAATATTCAATGATAATAGAGGAAATGCAAATGAAAAGATGATGCAATGTTGAATGAAGAGCATTGAAAGAGAAAATGAACAAAAGTTGACTATGTAGAATGAAGATATTGAAAGAGGAAACATGAATAAAGAATAATTGTAGAATGTAGAGGATTAAAAGTGGTAGAATGAAGGGATGATGGGCAATGCTGAATAGGAGCACGAAAGAAAAATGATTCTAACTGATGAGCTATAAAAGAATGAAGACTATTGAAAGAGGGAAAAAATGAATGAAAGAATATTCTAAGTGATGATGTAGAATGTAGAGGATTGAAATACTATATATGGGATAATGGAAAACACAAATGAAAGAATATTCGAAAAGAGGAAAATGAATGCAAAGACACAGAGACAAAATAAGAGCATTGAAAAAAGGGGAAGAATGAAAGAATATAAAAGACACAGAATGTAGAGGATTGAAAGTGGAAGAATGAAGGGATGATGCTGATAATAAAATGTTGAATATGCCGATAATAGGAAAGAGGAAAGAAATGCAAAGATGAGCTATGTAGAATGAAGAGCATTGAAACAGGAAGAATGAATGAAAGAATAAACATGTAGAATGTAGAGGATTGCTGAAAATAAAAAAGAAAGGATGACAAAATGTTGGATAGAGCATCGAAAGAGGAAAATGAATGCAAAGAAAGCTATGTAGAATGAAAGTATTGAAAGAGGAAGAATGAGCGAAAAAAGAATACTATATATACCGATAATAAGAAGAAAACGAAAAATATTCAACTGCTGATAATAAAAATGACACAGAGACAAAAGAATACTATATATGCCGATAATAGGAAAAAAACGACAAACGAAAAATGATAATATATGCCGATAATAGGGAGTGATAATAAAATGACACAGAGACAAAACAATACTATATATATACCGATAATAGGAAAAACAAATGAAAGAATATTCTAACTGCTGATAATAAAAGACACAGAGACAAAATAATACTATATATGCCGATAATAGGAAAACACAAACGAAAGAATATTCTAAATAATAAAAGACACAGAGACAAAAAATACTAGATATGCCGATAATAGGAAAAACACAAACGACAAAAAGGATATTCTAACTGAATATTCTGATAATAAAAAATGAGAGACAAAAAAGATACGATAATGAAGGCCTGGGCAGAGAATATTCTAACTGTGATAATAAAAGACAGAGACAAAAAGAATGCTATATAAAGCAGAATGAAGAGAAAAAGAGGAAAAATGAATGAAAGAATATTCATGTAACTGTAGATAATAAAAAGACACAGAGACAAAGAATGACTATATATGCAATGTTGAAAAAACAAACGAAAGAATATTCTAACTGCTGATAATAAAAAGACACAGAGACAAAAGAATGAAGATGTGCCGATAAAAGGAGGACAAACGAAAGAATATTCTAACTGCTGAGAATGAAATGACAGAGAGACAAAAAAAATAATGAATGGGATGATGGGCAAAGTTGAAAGGACAAACGAAAGAATATGAAACTGAATAATAAAAAATGACACAGAGACAAAAGAAGACTATATTGCCGATAAAGGGGGAAGAAAATGAAAGAATATTCTAAATGCTGATAATAAAAAAGAAACAGAGACAAAAGAATAGAATGAATGTGATGATGGGAAAAACAACGAAAGAATAATAAATGACACAGAGACAAAAGAGGAAATGAATGCAAATAATGAGAAAACAGAATGAAAAGAATATTGAAAGGGGAATAATAAAAATGACAAGAAGAAAAAATACTAGAATGTAGAGGATAGGGAAAAACACAAAGAATGAAGTGGATGATGTGATAATAAAAATGACACAGAGACAAAAAGAATACTATATAAAATAGGAAAACAAAGATGACAAAAGAAAACTATATATGAATGAATAGAAAAACACAAACGAAAGAATATTGAAAGAGGAATAATGAAAAAAGACACAGAGACAAAAAGAATTAGATATGCCGATAATGAAGGGAAACACAAATGAAAGAATATTCTAACTCAGTTGAAAATAAAATGAACACAGAGAGAAAAAAGAATACTATATATGCCGATAACAGGAAAACACAAAAAGAATAAAGAATGACAGATTGAAAAGAATTCTAACTGATGATAATAGGAAAAAACACAAAGAAAGAAAGAGAAAACTGGATAAAATAAATGACACAGAGACAAAAGAATATTGAAAGAGGGAAAACACAAACGAAAGAATATTCTAAATGTTGATAATAAAAAGACACAGAGACAAAAATAATGAATATATACCGATAATAGGAAAACAAACGAAAATTCTAACTGCTGATAATAAAAAAAGACACAGAGACAAAAGAATACTATATATGCCGTTAATAGTAAAAACACATGTAGAAAGAAGATTCTAACTGGTGATAATAAAAAAGACACAGAGACAAAAAAGAATACTAGAAATGCCGAAAAAAACACAAAACGAAAGGATGTTTCTAACTGAAATAAAAAAGACACAGAAAAAAGAATACTAGAATGTAGATACAGGAAAAAACACAAATGAAAGAATATTCTAACTGCTGATAATAAAATGACACAGAGAAAAAAAATATATGCTGGATATGGAAGATATTGAAAAGGAACAAACGAAAGAAAGATTCTAATGTATAATAAAATGACACAGAGACAAAAAAGAATTGAATATGCCGAAAATAGGAAAAAATAGAATGAAAGAATAGGAAAATGAATGAGAATAAAAGACACAGGATTGAAAGTACCAGAATGAATGGGAAATGGGCAAAGTTGAAAGAATATTCTAAAGATGATAATAAAATGACAAAGATGACAAAAAAGAATGAAGATACCGATAAGGGGAAGAAAAGAATATTCTAACTGCTAGAATGTGAGGATTGAAACAAAAAATGAATATATGCCGATAATAGGAAATGTTGAACAGAAAGAATATTCGAAAGAGGAAAATAAAAGACAAGAGAAAGAGCTATGTAGAATGAAGATATTGGAAAGAGGAAGAATGAACGAAAGAAGAATTCTAACTGTATAAAAAAGACACAGAGACAAAAGAGGATACTATATAAAGGAAAAAACACAAATGAAAGAATATTCAAACTGAATAATAATGGAAAGAGACACAAAGATGAGATAATAGAAACAAAAAAAGAAAACTGATGATAATAAAATGAAAGAGCAAAAGATATATAGCCGATAATGTAGAATGAAAAGAATATTCTAAAAGCTGATAATAAAAAGACACAGAGACAAAAGAATACTATATATGAAGATAGGAAAACAAACGAAAAGAATTCTAAGGGATGATAATAAAATGAAGACAAAAAGAATACATATAAGAGATAAGAAAACACAAATGAAAGAATAAAGAACTGCTGATAATAAAAGACACAGAGACAAAAGAAGAGGATATGCTGAGAATATTGTGATGAAACTAAAAGAATATTCTAACTGCTGAATAAAAATGACACAGAGACAAAAGAATGGATGTAAAAGAGGAAAATGAATGACACATGAGACAAAAATAATGTAGAATGAAGAGCACAAAAGGGGGAAGAATGAAGGAAAGAATAATATGTAGAATGTAGAGGAAAGAATACTATAGAATGCCGATGACAGGAAAAAGTTGAATAGAATATTCGAACTGAGGAAAATAAATGACAAAGAGACAAAAAAGAATAGAATATATGCCGATAATAGAAAAAAACAAACGAAAGAATATTCTAACTGCTGATAATAAAAGACAGAGAAAAAGAATACTATATATGCCGATAATAGGAAAGTGTAGAAAAGAATATTCTAATGATAACAAAATGAATAGAGAACGAAAAGAAAACTAATACCAAAGATGAGGAGGAAACACAAAGGAAAACTGCTGATAATAAAATGACACAGAGACAAAAAGAATACTTTATATGTAGAAAAGACAAATGAAAGAATATTCCAACTGATGATAAAAAAGTTCAAAGAATGAATATGAGGATAAAAGGTGAAATGAAAGAAAGATGATAATAAAAGACACAGACAAAAGAGTATTGAATGCTGGATAATAGGAAAATGAAACGAAAGAATATTCTAACTGCTGATAATAAAAGACATTGAGACAAAAAGAATACTATATAATAATAGGAAAACACAAAGGAAAAGAATATTCTAAGATGAGCTAATATTAAAAGACAGAGAAATGAATGATGATATGTGAAAAATGAATGCTGATATTAAAAGTGACACAGAGAAGACAAAGAATACTATAGAATGAAGATAATCGGAAAACAAATGAAAGAATATTCTATGTAGATAATAAAAAAGGATTAAAGAGGAAAAAAGAATACTATATGGATAAAGGAAAACACAAAAGAAAGAATTGAAAGCTGATAATAAAAGACAAAGATGACAAAAAGAAATAGAATAGGACATTGAAAGGGGAAGAATAATGAAAGATGAGAGACAAAAGTAGAATGAAGATAATAGGAAAGAGTGAAGAATGAAGGGGATATATACAGAGACAAAGGAAAGAGCATTGAAAAACAACGAAAGAATGATTCCTGATAAAAAGATGATGAGCAAAGTTGAATAAAAGAATATTCTCGAAAGAGGAAAACACAAACGAAAGAATGAGCTAACTGCAGAATAAAAAAATGACATTGAAAGAAAGAATAATAGATGCCGATAAAGAATACAGGATAAATGTAGAAAAGAGACAATTGAAAGTGCTGATAATAAAAACACAAACGAAAGAATGGGACAAAAAAGAAGAGACAAAAGAATATGCCGATAATAGGAGAAAACACAAACGAAAAGATATTCTAACTGCTTTGAATGAAAAAAGAGACAAAAGAAAGGGGAAAAAGAATACTGAAAAGAATGCCGATAAAAGAAACATAATAGGGAAAACACAAACGAAAGAATATTCTAACTGCTGATAATAAAATGAAACAGAAAATGAACGAAAGAATACTATATGGCAAATGAAGAGATAATGAAAGAGGACTTGATAATGAATGAAAGAATATTCTAACTGGTTGATAATAAAATGACACAGAGACAAAAAAAATACTAGATAAGGGATACAGGATAACACAAACGAAAGAATATTCTAACTGCTGAATAAAAGACACAGAGACAAAAGAAAAAGGATGCCGATAATAGAAAAAACACAAACGAAAGAATATTCTAACTGCTGATAATAAAAAGAATGAACAAAAGAATACTATAGAATGTAGAGGAAACACAACGAAAGAATATTCTAAGTGGATAAATGACACAAACGAAAGAATCGAAAGAGGAAAATGAATAACTGCTGATAATAAAAGACACAGAGACAAAAATACTATATGCCGATAATAGGAAAACACAAACGAAGAATATTCTAACTGCTGATAATAAAAGACACAGAGACAAAAGAATACTATATGCCGATAATCGGAAAACACAAATGAAAGAATATTCCAACTGCTGATAATAAAAGGACACAGAGACAAAAAGAATAAAGATGCCGATAACAGGAATGCAAACGAAAGAATATTCTAACTGCTGATAATAAAAAAGACACCAGAGACAAAAGAATACTATATATGCCGATAATAGGAAAACACAAACGAAAAGAATATTCTAACTGTTGATAATAAAAAGAAGTGGTAGAAAGAATACTATATGCCGATAATAGGAAAAACAACGAAAAGAATAGGGAACTGCTGATAATAAGGACACAGAAGACAAAGAATACTATATATGCCGATAATAGGAAAACACAAACGAAAGAATATTCTAACTGAATGATAATAAAAAGACACAGAGACAAAAAGAATACTATATGCCGATAATGGAAAAAACACAAAGAGAAAAATATTGCAACTGCTGATAATAAAAAGACACAGAGAAAAAAATAATACTATAATAGGAAACACAAACGAAGGAAAAAAACTGAAATAAAAGAATAACAACTTGCTAGAATAATAGAAAAACAAACGAAAAAAGAGAAAATGAATACTATATATGCCGATAATAGGAAAACACAAAAAAGAAAAAGAATATTCTAACTGATGATAATAAAAAGACACAAGACAAAAGAATACTATATATGCCGATAATAGGAAAACACAAATGAAAGAATATTCTAACTGCTGATAATAAAAAAGACACAGAGACAAAAGAATACTATATATGCCGATATTAGGAAAACACAAACGAAAGAATATTCTAACTGCTGATAATAAAAGACACAGAGACAAAAAGAATACTATATATGCCGATAATAGGAAAACACAAACGAAAGAATATTCTAACTGCTGATAATAAAATGACACAGAGACAAAAGAATAGAATATGTGGATAATGGGAAAACACAAATGAAAGAATATTCTAACTGCTGATAATAAAATGACACAGAGACAAAAAGAATACTATATTGATAAGAGGAAAACACAAAAACGAAAGAATATTCTAACTACTGATAATAAAATGACACAGAGACAAAGAATACTATATGCCGATAATAGGAAAACACAAACGAAAGAATATTCTAACTGCTGATAATAAAAGATGAGACAAAAGAATGAATATAATGAGGAAGAACCACTGGAAGAAACAGAGGACTTGAAAGATATTCACAAAATATTCTGATGATAATAAAAGACACAGAGACAAAAAGAATACTATATATGGAGATAAATGAAAGAGAAAATGAATGAAAAGAATATTCTAACTGCTGATAATAAAAAAAGACACAGAGACAAAAAAGAATACTATATGAAAGAAAACACAAACGAAAGAATATTCTAACTGCTGATAATAAAACACAGAGACAAAGAATACTATATATGAAGTGGATGAAAGAATATTCTAATGTTGATAATAAAAGACACAGAGACAAAAGAGGAAAACCGATAAAAACACAAACGAAAGAATATTCTAACTGCTGATATTGAAAGAGGAAGAGATAATGAACAAAAGAATACTATGTAGAATGTAGAGATGATAAAGTGAAAAAGAAACAAATGAAAGAATATTCTAACTGCTGATAATAAAAAAGACACAGAGAAAATGAAAAAAGAATGCTATATAGAATGAAGAGATAATGAAAGGGGAAAACACAAATGAAAGAATATTCTAACTGCTGATAATAAAAACACAGAACAAAAAAAAATATTAGATGTTGAATAGGAAAACACAAAAAAAGAATATTCTAACTGCTGATAATAAAAAGACACAGAGACAAAAGAATACTATATATACCGATAATAGGAAAAACACAAATGAAAGAATATTCTAACTGCTGATAATAAAAGACACAGAGACAAAAGAATACTATATAATACCGATAATGGGAAAACACAAACGAAAGAATATTCTAACTGCTGATAATAAAAAGACACAGAAAAAGAATACTATATATGCCGATAATAGGAAAACACAAACGAAAGAATATTCTAACTGCTGATAATAAAAATGACACAGAGACAAAAGAATACTATATATGCCGATAATGGGAAAACACAAACGAAATGATATTCTAACTGCTGATAATAAAATGACACAGAGACAAAAAGAATACAAGATAATAGGAAAACACAAACAAAAAAGGAATATTCTAACTGCTGATAATAAAATGACACAGAGACAAAAGAATACTATATATGCCGATAATAGGAAAACACAAACGAAAGAATATTCTAACTGCTGATAATAAAAAAGACACAGAGACAAAAGAATACTATATATGCCGATAATAGGAAAAACACAAAAAAGAATATTCTAACTGCTGATAATAAAATGACACAGACAAAAAGAATACTATATATGCCGATAATAGAGGAAAACACAAACGAAAGAATATTCTAACTGCTGATAATAAAAAGACACAGAGAAAAGAATACTAGATATGCCGATAATAGGAAAACACAAACGAAAGAATATTCTAACTGCTGATAATAAAAAGACACAGAGACAAAAATACTAGATACGATAAGAGGAAAAACACAAACGAAAGAATATTCTAACTGCTGATAATAAAAAATACGATAACGATAACATAAACGAAAGAAAGACAAAAGAAATACTATATAATAAAATGCCGATATATTCTAGGAATAGGAATCGAAACACAAATGAAAAAAAAGAATATTCTAACTGCTGATAATAAAAAAGAAAATGAAAGAATACAAAAGAATACTATATATGGTAAAAAAAGAAATAGGAAAAGACAAACAAAAAGAAATATTCTAATAGAAAAACACAAACGAAAAGAATATTCTAAATAATAAAAAGACACAGAGATAAAAAAATAATACTAGATATGCCGATAAAGAAAACACAAACGAAGAATATTCTATGCTGATAATAAAAAACACAGAGAAAACATGAAACGACAAAGAAAATATTCTAACTGCTGATAATAAAATGACACAGAGACAAAAGAATACTATATATGCCGATAATAGGAAAACACAAACGAAAGAATATTCTAACTGATGATAATAAAATGACAGAGAGACAAAAAGAATACTATATATGCCGATAAGAGGAAAAACAAACGAAAGAATATTCTAACTGCTGATAATGAAAAAGACACAGAGACAAAAGAATACTATATATGCCGATAATAGGAAAACACAAACGAAAGAATATTCTAACTGATGATAATAAAATGACACAGAGACAAAAAGAATACTATATATGCCGATAAGGAAAAAACACAAATGAAAGAGAATGATAATAAAAGACACAGAGAGAAAATGAATACTATATATGCCGATAATAGGAAAACACAAACGAAAGAATATTCTAACTGATTGCTGATAATAAAAAGACACAGAGACAAAAAAGAATAGAGATAATAGAAAAAACACAAACGAAAAAATATCTGAATGATAATAAAAAGAGACACAGAAAAAGAAAAAACGATACAAAAATGAGACAAAAGAAACACAAAGAAAGAATATTCTAACTGCTGATAATAAAAAGACACAGAGACAAAAGAATACTATATATGCCGATAATAGGGAAAACACAAACGAAAAAGAATATTCTAACTGCTGATAAAAAAAATGACACAGAGACAAAAGAATACTATATATGCCGATAATAGGAAAACACAAACGAAAGAATATTCTAACTGCTGATAATAAAAAAGACACAGAGACAAAAGAATACTATATGCCGATAATAGGAAAACACAAACGAAAGAATATTCTAACTGATGATAATAAAAAGACACAGAGACAAAAAAGAATACTATATATGGAAATAATAGGAAAACACAAACGAAAAAGAATATTCTAACTGCTGATAATAAAAAGACACAGAGACAAATAATACTATATATGCCGATAATAGGAAAACACAAACGAAAGAATATTCTAACTGCTGATAATAAAAAGACACAGAGACAAAAAGAATACTATATATGCCGATAATAGGAAAACACAAACAGAAAGAATATTCTAACTGCTGATAATAAAAACACAGAGACAAAAGAATACTATATATGCCGATAATAGGAAAACACAAACGAAAGAATATTCTAACTGCTGATAATAAAAAGACACAGAGACAAAAGAATACTATATATGCCGATAATAGGAAAACACAAACGAAAAGAATATTCTAACTGCTGATAATAAAAAGACACAGACAAAAAAAAGAATACTATATATGCCGATAATAGGAAAACACAAATGAAAGAATATTCTAACTGCTGATAATAAAATGACACAGACAAAAAGAATACTATATATGCCGATAATAGGAAAACACAAACGAAAGAATATTACAACTGCTGATAATAAAAAGACACAGAGACAAAAGAGAATACTATATATGCCGATAATAGGAAAACACAAACGAAAGAATATTCTAACTGCTGATAATAAAAGACACAGAGAC